GCAGGCGCGGATCCAGGAATTGAAGTTAGGGGGGGGGGGGCGCAGAAAGTGGGCAGGGGGTCTGGGGGCCGCCTTGAGGCCTCCAGTGGGTCCAGGGCGAAGCCCTGGTGGGGGCTCAGGGGGCGAAGGCCCCGGAAGCTCCTGGATTCTAGACATTTTGTAGGGTTAAAATGAGGTCTTGATTTTAATGAGGTCTTGATTTTCTTGATGAAACTATGGTTTACGCTAACTTTGACAGTTTTAGGGGGGGGGGGGGCGCCGGGTGCGCCCCCCCCCTTAAATCCGCCACTGGACGGTGCATATTGTCGTTTCATACATATTGTCGTCAGCGAAAAAAAATATGCACATGTCCACACTTTACATCGTCTATCATCAAATATTGTCGTCAACTAAAAAAAAAAAATATTCAGGTACATATTGTCATCGGCGACATAATGTGCCTACCCTCAATGTATATATTTTTTACTCCACAGTCAGGATTGTTTAATGATTTTTTTTTCTTTTAACTTGGTGAATGTAATTGGTGTGTATCCAATAAATAAAACTTCAAGTGAGTGTCGCACCAAATATGTGTAACAACGGTTATAAAAATTCCATAAGCAACTTTCTTTTGTAATGGAAATAGGCGGAGATCACTTAGGAAATGTTTTTGAGGCTTTTTTGTTGTTAAATTGAACCTAACAAAAATGACGCAGTCCAGAAATATGACCTATTTTTATTAAAAGTTGAGATTTCATCCAGTGTTCAATACTTAGGTTGGTAGTTTTACACCAAAACTGACGGATACATGCACTAAATCACTCGTCGTTAGCTTTCTGTTTGAAGTAAAATCAATACACATGCAAATAATTGTTTAACAGTCTATAATTATCAATTATACCGTGAAACAAAATCGACTCTAAAAAGAATTAAATTTAAATACCCAAGCATGCTTTTTCATGTCATTTAAATACATTTACTAAATCGATCATTTGACAGGCTGAAATAATATATAAAAAGGGGGTAAAATCAGTTCTGCTTCTATTTCGCGTTTTCATGTGCGATAAGCATAAAAAAATCAAACGTTCATTCGATGGGCGCTATGGTGGCCAGACAAGGTATACAGGATATATGCAATTACTGGTAACTAGATGTCAATTAATTTTAGTATCCAATTCCAAGCTTAAATTCTGCTGATTTCCAGGGGTTCACAGACCAGGTAAATTTGAAGGCGATGCTTATTTCCTCCCCTTTTAAGGTTTTCAAATTTATGCTTATACTCGGCAGTTAATACCATTGAGCTGTGAGAGTGCTTCATCGTGCCAACGACTGACGTGACCTGAGACTTAACGGCACGTTTTTAGGTTATATCCCAAAGAACCTGACTATTACTTCCAATGTCGAGAGCTTGGCGAAGGAAAAGTCACCACGAATGTAAACAACTTAGGATTGACGAGGTGCCGGGAACAAGAATCGAACCTTGTACCTCTCAATTACCGACCACTAGGCTTCCGGGACTGGTGAAAAGTAAGTTTACAGTGTAAGCTCTTATTTTTCTGGGTAAAAGCATGAGTAATTTCCTTATGTCACTGGTAACTTAACTGCCCTATTCCAAGCATGCACAGCATATACTTTCATTTAACATTTCTTTCGAAGTTTTTGACATCTCATTGGATTAACTCACCTGAGGAAAATATTCAACATTTAGAATACAGAGAGGCAGTAGGTAATTATTCAGGCCCTGTTATTTAATCCAGCTGCGTATAAATATATCTGCGTATTAGGTGGTAATCGGGGATTGCAATTTATATTATTGAACACAGAATAATAACCTTTTCACTGATAACACTGTAACCAACAAATATGTCATTTCGCACTTTTTTGTGCTAAGAAATTTCAGTCTGTATGAAAGCTTTTAATGTACATCTGAAACAAGAGGACTGAATAACAGTGAGTTTTCCTTAATCAACGAATTGTTTGGGTATTTCATATACTTTGATCCAGAATAAATGATGAAGAGAAGAATACTAGTATTACGTGCTTAATATGAATATACAAAAAATTGTCCAAAACCTAAATCATCTCATAAAAATATTTTATAATGAAAAATTGCATATCCAAGATCTAAAGTTCATATTATTTCTCAATTCATTGAATAATATAAATAATGATTTTTAAAACAAATACTTTGTATGGGATATTTTGCCAATATTAGCTGAGATAATGAATCCATATTCTAACTACAATGAAGCGCATTAAAGTTGTAGTTTTTTTTTTTTTTTTTTTTTTTTTTTTTCGTTTGATTGGAAGGTTTTGAGCTTTCATTTGAACGTTAATTGTCACATAATGACACGCCCATTTCTTCAGAAAGACAAATAGCGGTCAAATAGCTCATTCGAATACCTGTAGAACTGGTATTCCATAATTAAATTAGCCAATCAAAATGACAGTCTTCATAAACAACAAGTAAACACGTGTTCGACCGATACATGTGTTGTGATAACTTCAATAAAAATGATAAGTTCCTAGTTATGTACTGTACATATATTTTACAGAAGCGGAGTCTCTAACTCTTTCTCTCGTAACTTCATAAAATCTCCATATCAGCAAAACGCATGTTGCTTGTCGCAGAGTGGGGGTGACTTAAAACATTGCGATGAATATTGCTTTCTCGTTTCTAAAGAAACAGGCGTATCATTCTATAACAATTGAAATTCCAAAGAAAGACCAAAACGTTCCATTCGAAAGAAAAATTTTACCACTTCAATGCGCTTCATTGTAACATTCTTAAAATGAAATGAATTTTAGAAACATTTAAAAGTAAGGTATTTAAAAACTTTTATCGGAATGTACATGTAAATATGGGTTGACCATTTGACCGTGTGCAAGATTTTTAGGCTTTCTTGGGAAATAATACTTTACTGTGTCGAAGAGAAACACAATATTGTGCAAAAAATTTTCGCTATATTAGGATTTCTTTTTATGATCATGTGTGCAGATAATCTTTGACAGGAGAACTATGTTTTATTGTCAATTATTGATTGAAAAAATATTTATGGATATATGCATACAATCAAAACTTAGCCAAAAAAATGCATAAATGATCAAACTCTCTAACTTGAGGTCGTTATTCCAACTCGTTTTCGATTACACAACAGACATCGTTATATTAATGATGACATTTTAAGTATATAAAGGTAGTTTTCATACATAAGGCACAAAACAAGAATAAATGAATTTCAAAACTGATAAGGAGTTCTTGACAAAAGTACTCTGACAAATAACTCAGTGTATCTATAACCTAAATAACCAAAATCGAAATGTTACTTCGGAGTCACTAAAATGCTCTTTGATATAAAGCTTGATTAAAGAATGTTCAAGAAAAAAAAATATATTTAACGTCTGCATACAGGTTTGGATTGATGATTTAATCAAATTTTCGTATACAAACAATATTCAGAATAATAATTATTATATAATAATTATTTGGATGTACTATGCCAAAACTGTATTCAGGGTTTGACTCATAATGCAATCGCCTCCTTCTCATGCACCAAATGTGTCAAACCATGACTACTATTTCGGCATAGTAAATCCAAATCCTGAAATGATTTTATAAAGATAGAAGTGATTTACTTTTTCAAAGTCAGCATTAAATTATTTAATTTGAAAATGTCAAAAACAGGATCAATGATTTATAATTGCATTTTTGTTACAATATATTTCATTTTAGCTTCAAATGATTGTAATTTAAATTACACCACTAGATGTTTCATATTTCAATATTTCAATAAGCATTGTAAATTAAACTCATTTTTTGCACAATAATTGTAGATCTGTTTTTAAGGGAAAATATGAAAAAAGCAAACAGTAATCAATCTCAAAAGTCTATCGAAGCAAAAAGGAAACACGGACCTCTAAAACATCAGAGGTAGTATCAGTTACCATGGAGAAGTAAGCATTTCCTGTCGATCAGTTACACCTGCCATGTTCTCTTTGTCATGATCGGGAAACGGAATAATTGAAAAAAAGAATGAAAATGGAACTCTACACATATAACTGTAAAAAGTGTCCTGAATGAATACATATAAGAAATTTCAATGGATCAAGAAATAATCTTAAGGTATGTCAAGCTTCAGCTTTTGAGAAAAGTTTGGCCAGAACTTCTAACTTCAAAATTATTAATTTTAATTTGTAAGGCATATTTGACTTCAACAATGAAAATTATACGATATTCAATTTAAAAATTGTTTACAAATTGTAAAGAAACAAAGTTTATGGTGGGGGAGATCTATCATGTGGTGGAAGGATATTTAGAAGAAATTTTCTCAAATCTACGCATTCGTTTGATTTCTTATCTTAGAACTTTACCTATACATATTTTTAGTCGTCGATTCTTTTTTAGTATTACATTCTAGGAATATAAATTATTGGTTTCAATGATATCTTAAAAACAAATTTTTCACGTTCACTCAACAGAATTTGCCAAAAAATGAAGATATATTTAAGATTAAGATATATATATTTCAAATTATACATCACTGACCACACCTACTTATTTCGTTATTTTGAAATAAAAAAAATACATTCAACCAGTCAGCGCTAAAGTCATAAAAGCTTGATACAACTCAGATAATTTTGAAAGATCCCTTAATTGCTTTAAAAGAAGATATGACCTCTGTATAAATATTTTGGTCTGGTCCCTTATATATGAAACGCAAATAAACACATTTATGAATGAACTCTGTCAAAGAATATTCAAACAATAACGATTTGCATGACGTTTACGATGATAAACGTAGTAAAGTTTTGAAACGTTTTTACAGTAACACTCACACACACACACACACACACACACACACACAGAGAGAGAGAGAGAGAGAGAGAGAGAGAGAGAGAGAGAGAGATATGCATATACTTTTGCTCCTTGTCAACTTCATTTTGGTATTTGAACTATTCTAAAAATTTGAAAATGATACTCGTCCCATGTATTTACATTTTATACATTCATTCTATAAACATTATCGGAGTCCTTCATAATCTGAAGGCAGCGACAATTCACCAAGCTCGTGATATTTGTTATCACTATCGTTGGATTCTGCAAAATGTTGTATAGGCCCAGTCCTCCTACTTTGGTCGAATTGTTTTCTTTGCACTTCTGTTTCGTATGTCTCTCTTTGATCTTCCTTCTATTTGGATGTAATACAAATAAATAGAGTGCATTATTTTTTCAACTACCTAATTCATTTTTTTTAAATAATGTGTGCGAAACAATATATATATATATATATATATATATATATATATATATATATATATATATATATATATATATATATATATATATATATATATATATATATATATATATATATATATATATATATATATATATATATATACGAATTACATACAGGCGATATTTGAGGTACATAATTTGAAATAAGTTGTGAAATATATTGTGTAATATAACACTAACCTATTAATACACATGTAGGCAACCAAAATTGAAATGACAGTAAGAGAGACGCAGAGAGCTGCAAGGACGACATAAAATTGTGTCTGGAAATCATCCATTTTCACCACTGCAACTGTACGAAAATAAACAGAAACAATTCACCACTTTGCTTATACGGTGCTTTAATATTCAGATTGGATTGTCAACACTCAAAGACATTGACCCTTATATATAAGATTTGAAGATATTGACCTTTCAAGCACTTCAGACCATGCCATCCGCCAATACATCCTTCGTTACAATACCCAGTCACGTGGTTGCACTCACGTGACGAGTTGCAGAAGAGACTGCACTCTTTTTTTGCACTCATCTCCATAAAATCCTGAATTGCAAACTATAATAAAAGAGAAAGAAAAATATGGGAAAATCAACTTCATATAAAACAATATTTCCAATTTTAATGACTTCTTTTTTATCCGATACGTAACATACATGTATAAACATTAAATTAAGCTAATTAGTTAATTTGTAAATTTGTAAGAAAAACGGTCTATTTCTTTAAATCCTGGTTTTAAAACTATTGATTTTTATAGTTTTATTTTTTCTTTAATCAAGGATACCTTCATTACATTGCATTCCTTGATATCCTTCTGTTTGTCTGTCTTTGTACTTCCACCTGTATCTTTTTCATTTCGTTTAGAAATGTAAGACTCTTGGATTTGGTATTTAACTCATGTGATATCTTTCACACTGACTTTTGACCCGTCTCTCAGAATACTCCAAAGTACCGACTTAAACCATTATATTTGATTTTTAAGAAGTGGTTGTTTTTTAAAGCTTGTGCCCTGCTTGTACTGATAGAGGTATTTCAGTTTTTTGCCTTTAAATAGATTCTACTTCTCAAGAATACTTCTAAAATTTGTAGAGGCAATTTTTTGAAAGGTAAATTTGTGGTATATGTTTCTGATAATACAAAACTGTACATTCAAAGTGTATGATATATATTTACTACACAAAAATTAAATATATTTGCTACATTTTGAAATAAAACCTATTTCCTCTAAAGGTTAAGACAACGTACACTGTTTGCACTGAAGTCCTTCCCATCCAGGCTGACATCCGTCCTCACATTTTCCAGTCGTTCCATTGCATTTATAGGGTACAGCACATTTCTCATTACATACTTCCTCACAGTTTATACCAAATTTTCCACTCAAACAACCTAGCAACCTAGCATATGATTGTTTTCCCTTTGTTTTAATTTAATATTTCCGTGTATTTTAATTTATACTTGAAGTAAACATTCTCAAAATTAAATGTATTTGCATATAATACAATCAGGAATATTACCAGTTGTACAGAATTCCCCTTCATACCCAGCGTCACAACCCCCAGGACATGACCCATTGATATGATGACATTGCTTAAGACAAGACAGGCTCCACAGTTCTCAAGGCAGTAATATCCATATGATCTGTTATCACATTCTATTTATGTTAAAAAATATTTATAATGAAACCTGGAAATGTAATTACTTTTCATAAAAATTGTATGATCATGCAAACAAAAAAGTAGAAGTTTATACATGAATGTCGCAAAGCTTTATCCGTAATCAAACATGGTTTCCTGAACTGGGTGTACATTTAAAAAGTAAAATAGCCGTAACATTTCAGTGGAGAATACAACATATACATGCACAAGTATTACTTAGAACCGAGAACAGCGTATGTAACAATTCTGCATGTAGGTCATTTTAGTATTTTCAAGGTCACAGGGATTGAATTTTTGACATTGTTGGCTTTAGTCTAATTTTACGATGAAATCACTTCCAAAGAACACACTGCCCTAATGGTTGATTATGTACACATGGAATTATCCTGATCGTAAGTCATAAAAACAAGATGTGTTTCAACTTTTAGCAAAGGTTAAACTTTATCAAATGCAAATCAAATGTGTTGGTACCAAAAATAAGGTCTTGTCTTCGCAGCTAGGTTAAGGACGCCATGATACACCCTTATATATATATATATGAGTGAATATAATTTAAATTAAACATTAGTTTTGATGAATGTACATTGTGGTGTTTGCACTTATATATATATATATTTCAGATTTCATAGTTTTTTGTAGAATAACTTTTCATTTGTGTTCATCATAAAGTGAAAGGTAAGTAAATTTTATGCTATTTTTCCATATTGAATCGGTATAGGTGCCAGTTCATATCCAACTGGCAATTGGTAGAAAGAAAATCATTTGATGTGTTTGTCGCATTCATTTTACGAAAAAAACAGAAGAAAAACAAAGATTTGAACATATTTTTACAATTTTAATTTTAATATTAAATACGCAGCTGGGATAAGGACGCCCATGAAATATACGCCTTAATATATTCAGAGAAAATGAATACAATTTATTTTTTTTCACAGCATTAGTTTTGATGAATGTGAATTGTGGTGTTTGCACTTGTATATATCGGGTCTCTCCTGAGTTCGGCCAAAGCGACATCGCTTACATCAGTTGTTTGTCATGTGACAGGTTTAAAATTAGAACATATATGTACTACTACAAAGATCATAAAAGTTCAACGATATACGGGTATCTTTCTGCTATAAAATTTATTCTGTTTTGTTTAAGACAAATTTCTTAACATGAAAATTGTTGGGAGCAACTTCCCCATGCTCGGGAATTGTGTAAAATTTAGCCGTCTTTCTATAAACTCCAGACATAGATGTAATACGCACTGAAATAATGTCACTTTACGGAAAAAATAAACAATGCACAACCAGCTCCGAGCACTTTTCAGAACAGTAGGAATAATAGCTACACGTGTTCAAATTTTCAGAGTTTATAGTGAAGCGGATAACCTTGAACTTTTGATATTTTCGAGGGGCTGGACCCCTCATTTTAGCACATTACTGTACAAATGAGCTCTCTACGGCTATATCTAAGTTCTGCACATTATCAATTTAGTTTGGCAATCAAATATGGTTTAATTTATTCTAAAATGTATATTTATTTTGGTCCATTTAAGCGTGTTTCGATTTTTTTTTATTTTTACAAGCTACGATAATAACTTGCTCCATGCTTCAAGTACAGAGAAGCTGCGTGTCATACTAAGAAATGACGTCATCTCAGTAAGTAGAGCGTGATCAAGCTGGCTTTAAATCTACATACTCAAAGTGCTATTTTGGCAAGATAAGTTGCACATCAAATTATCTTTATAACATTTATGAGAAACGAAAGTATTCTAGTGAAATCATAATAGCTTTCCCGAACCTCTGCATAGGCTGCCGTAGAAATGTAAGTCCTAACCTAGCTGCGTTGAGGAATATACCTGTGAAATATGAAAGCACTATCAGCAACCATTGAATAGATAGAGAAGAGGTTAAAGTTTTTCAAAAGTAAGTCAAACATCAAGGTCAAGGTCAAATGGTCAAAATTAATGATACCAAAGTAATTGCCTTCTCACAAGAAATAAACATGTGAAATATGAAAGCCGTAGAAACAATTGTTCAAAACTTAAGGCCAAGGTTTAAGTTTTTCAAAAGTAGGTCAAACTCCAAGGTCAAAGTGTCAATTGGATGGTATTCTAAAGAAGGCCTTTTCACAAGGATTACATATGTGAAGAATTAAACCCCTAGATCCAACCATTCAATAGTTATGGCCAAGGTTAAAGTTTTCTAAAGGAAGTTCAAACTCCAAGGACAAGGTCAATGGGTCAAAGTTGTTGGTATCCAAAGGAAGGTCTTGTCAAAAGAATTATATTTGTGAAGTACAAATGCCCTAGCCCAAACCATTCAAAAGTTATTGCCAAAGTTAATTTTTTTTCAAAAGTAGGTCAAACTCCAAGACCAAGGTCAAAGGGTCAAAACCATTGATATCTAAACTAAGGTCTTGCCGCAAGAATTACATATGTGAAGAATGAAAGCCCTAGCTCTAAGCGTTCAAAAGTTATCGCCAAGGTTAAAGTTTTTCAACAGTTGGTCAAACTCCTAGGACAAGGGTCAAAAGGTCAAAGTTGTTGGTATCCAAAGAAAGGTCTTGTCACAAGAATTTTACATGGAAAGAATAAAAGCCCTGGCACAACCGTTCAAAAGTTTCTAAATTTATAGTTCAGTAAACTTTTACAAAACTGGGTCAAACTAAAAGGTCAAAAGGTCAAACATGATGGTACCCAGAGAAAGGTCTTGTCACAAGGAATACACATGTGAAATAGAAAAGCCATAGCTTCAGCCAATCAAAAGTTATGAGCAATGTTAAAGTTTTTGCAGACAAGCAGAGAAACAGCTAGACGGACAGGGCAAAACTATATACCCCCGAAACTTCGATACGGGGGCATAAAAAAACGTATTATTATTTAAGTTTGTTTTCAGGTATACCAAGAAACCATTCCTTAAAGAATAATAGTAGCATTTAAAGTTAAAAAAGTTTCAAATGATTAGAATCACAATGAAAAAGACAATAAAAACCATGTTTTATTTTTTTTCTTTCCTTATTTATTTTAAATGTAGAACTTATTGTCAGAGACAGGAAATACAGAACACAACTTTAGTTTATTTTAAAATCATTTTTTTTTTTTTTTTTTTGTATAATCATGCCTACTTTATTATGGCATTAAATGAATAAGTAAAGAAATATATTACGTGTAAATACATCGTGAATAGTCAAGAAAAATTAATTTACAAGAAGCACAAGTTTTGTTTCCGAGGAATCATGGTAGATTGGATCGAACTTTTGGGTAACAGAAAAAAAATAGCTTGATATTAGCTATTGTGTTATAAAAATATTATGGTCTTTGCAAGATATTCATTGAAAAATTTTTTTTAATGATTATCGTGCGAGTTCCTTTTTCAAATATTCTTTGAATTTCATGTGAAAATTACGCATTTTTTCTTTGTCTCATTCTCATGCAAAGCTATATATTTACATTTGCCAATGTCTTTCCTTATATAACAATACTAATTAAATTGAAATTCAATTTTCAATGACATGCAGTTGATCGAATGATCAGTCTTTCTTGCGTATGGAAAGCAAAATGCTCCAGTCATTGGAAAGTTCCGATTGTGACGTCAGTAGGTACGTTATGTTGCATTTCCATAGCAAAGTCTAAATAGTGCCTATATTTTTTGTAACACAAATAAAAAAGTACAATATAAATATAAGAAATAAAATATCATCTTAAGAGTCCATTGCGTTATGACATGAAGTCGGTACGTGATTAAATCTACGTGACCGACTTCATGTCATACTCCAATGAAACTCTAAAAATGATATCTTATTTCTTAAATGAATTCCGTGCCTGTATAGGAGAATCAGTACCACAGACTGTTGGAGAGATAAGACGTGTTTTTATGGGCTCTTATCTATACCCAGCTGATTAGTAAAATGATTAAGAAATAATTTATCTTAGTGTAAATTCTAGTCTTTTTAAATCAATTTTGAACTTATTTAGTGGATTATCACAATTATTTAATGGTAAAGATAAGGAGCTGGACTTAACCCCTTCAGTGAGTATACCAGACTTTCTTCAGGTTAAGCTTTCCACAGAACGTGTGACCATAAACTACGACGGCCATCAGCATGTTTTGTTTTATCTGTGCTTCAGAAAATGCTTTTATTTCATGGGGAAAAAAAGAGAAATGGGTGCATCTACAAATCTGCATGTAATTCAGTAACTGTAACGATTTACAGAAGCACAAATACCATTCTCATTCTAGGGTCTAGTGCTTTTGAATGAATTTCGAAATAAAATAAAGAGTCAACAAGATATGAGCCACACTGACTTTGTAACAGAGTGCAAAATTATTGTTGATCAGCCGAACTGTACCTCGATCTAAAGACCCTCTAAGAAACTGAATGATTCAAATACTGAGACGTGATGCGACCATTGTAAAAGCACGGAAAGTATAAAACATCTTTCCGAGACGGTCAAAATGCTTACCAAGGAAATTGAAATCCTAACGAAGCAGCTAATGGAAGCAGAACAAGCAAAGTCGTGTTCTAATGCTTCTAAACAAACTTTTGGGAAAAAGTGAAACAGAAGGAAACTTCGACCGAGGGACTTTCAGCCTCAGTAACAAATGGAATTTCAAGGCATACTTAGTGTACGTTTAATGTTGTGAAAAGAACCTCTAGTACTTCAACAGATGCAGATGTCAGTCCAAGTCCCGTGTGGAAAAACATGCAGTCCACGAAGAAAATAACCAAGAAAAAGTCAGACGTACACATCTCCAAAGAAATTCAAAATATATCGAACCCCTAACAAAAAAAGCAACATTACAAGGAATACTCAGCCTCCTGTAAGAGAATATAACCAAACTTCTACACTTGTCATTGGGAGTTCGATTCTTCAAAGAATGGAAGCCCGTGGCTTAGATCAAAGTTTGAAAGTAAATACAAATCGAAGTGCCAGTATTGCACACATTCGTTCAAAATTACAGATGTTTGATGTGTCCTCGATCCAAAACATTATTATTCAGGCTGGAGA